TCTCCAACAATCTGAGTTGGTCTCCAACAATCTGAGTTGGTCTCCAACAATCTGAGTTGGTCTCCAACAATCTGAGTTGGTCTCCAACTCTTCCCCTTCTGCTTCACTTTAACCACCTTGTTTACTTTATTTGTAGGATCCAAATGCAACATATTTACTTTGTTTTTGTGTTTTTTATTCAATTTAAAAATGCCCTCAAACTTAATACTTTATCTTTAGTTTGTGCCACCTATTTCCTTGTTGCTATGGTGAATCCTAGTATCAGAGCTCCCCTGATAATCGCTTTCTTCTCTCTGCCCAAAACTGTTCTGGAACCAAAACTCAGAGTTGCTCATCTCAGTCAGTTTGACCTGCTTCCTCAAATAGGATCCTGCTTTGCCATTTTTACTGTGGTTATTCTATTATTGATTGCTTTTGTTTATACAGGGTTGGTTTGCAGGTAGAAACCTGGCAGTGTCTCAGGTAATCACCAAATATGTACTCTGGGTGGATGATGATTTCATCTTTACTGCAAACACCAAGTTGGAGAAGATGGTGGACATCCTAGAAAAGACCACCCTGGATCTGGTAAGACAATGCAGTTGTTTTTGTTTGTTTGGTTGTTTTGTTTTGTTTTTAAAGTGAGCTTAAAGGAGTGGCCTGAAACTTCATGCAAATATGCAAACTAGTAATTAGAAAAGCAAAGCGCAATGTCACTGTGCCCTTACAATCTTTGATTATGAGCAGAATATTCAGTTGTTGCTGAAAGAAATGTAATCACTAGAATTACCGTTTTACAAGATTAACTTGTAAAATACAAGTTAAGTTTTCGTGTCATAATTTTCTGCCACTGTATGTTTCTATTTATTCATTCATTTATTACTTATAGTCAGGAGCAGAAGGGAAATGGTGACTGTGTTTTACAGTTTCCTGTTAGCCGCCTGTCACAAAAGCTGTTGTGGCTTTGGGTCTGCCAGACCTCTTCCTGTCAGTTTGTCCCAGTTTCTGAGTCCCTTTACTTGTACTCACGCACACGTTGACTTTCCTTGCAAAGTCTCTGTGGGAAAGATTTTTTTTTTTTTTTTTTGCTAGCAACACACTACTTTCTGCAGTACAATACTGTTCAACTGCTCACGAGCGTATGGTACCACAGTGTGTTTCAACACTGCTTTTATGCAGACAGAGGGGGTTTGTAAGTAATCCAGAAAAGCTGGAAAACCTGTAGCAACTTGTAGCACCAGCTTTCAAAGCTTGATCAACCTCCATTGCTGCAGAACAGCTTTAAATTGTTATCCCATTTTGTGTTCCCTGAAAAGGCCTTTTTGTATAATTCTGAAATGTACATTATTTTTCAGTTTTGAGTAACCTTACCTTTTTTCTTTTTTTTTTTCCCTCCTTTAAACCTCTGACAGTTCACCACTGACCTTTGTACCATTTCAAGCTATTCACTGGGCTTCATGACACAAATTGCAATAAATAACGGGAAAAATTGGAGTATGCTACAACTTTTGATGGATAATTTGTATATTTGACACATTTTGTCCTCTTTGTCCACGGTGTTCTACCATGCAGGCAACGAATGCAAACAATGTAATTGTGTGTATGCCGGCTTGCACACATACGCGAGAGGCACGAGAGTTCTTCTTTACTGATGTTTACTGTGCTTCTCTTAATGTACACAGGTACACCGTAGAACTGGTGAATGCATATGTACAAGGAAATTATATTTCAGCAAACATATTGCAATATAAAATTCACAAAATATAAACAAACATACCACTTTGGCCTGCAAGTAGACAAACGGTGTATTTGGAACTTAGGACTTTTTATTTCTTCTTTGACATTCACCATGAGCAGCTTCTGACCTTTTTTCCCAAAACAGGAAGTGACCTCTGCCCTTACCTTAAACTTAGAAAACTTTAACCGATTATTTACCATGTATCAAATTAACAGTACACCAATCTGGTATGCAAATAATAATAATATATTATCATGCTGTTTACAACTACATGAATGTACTAATTGCTGTGATTTATTACTGTTACTGAAGGTCCGCGGCTCCGAACCGTAGTAAAGGGACCTCTGGCTAATACGTCGGGCTCGTAGCCGAAAACTAGCTTTACTTTGTTGTCTGGGTCAACTTTGCTATTGTGACCAAGTGGTCGGCGGGGTTATAAACAAAATAATAAACTTGACAACGCCACCTAGGGGAATTGCACCCCCAGGACATATATTTAAGATAAATAGATAAAAGGAATAACAGGACTCCGCACAGATTCAAGGATGCACACTGAGGCAGGTTGGCTTCCAATACTAAAACAGTTTTATTTATAGAATGATATAGATAGTTATAGAATTTATTTAAATGAATGAGAAGACATGTGTAGAAAACTAAATAAGAACCTTTATACACACACACACACACACACACACCTTTATCACTGTAACAAGTATAACGAAATTAATTGCAGTGTCAAAAGAAAGTTTAAGTATAATTACAAAAGAATAGAATAAAAAAGTAGAGCATGATATTCAGTAATAATAAATAGAACCTTATTGCACATAAACACTATATCACAGGATGTCATCCATTGCACTATTTGCCAGTGTGAATTGTAGGTGATTACTTGTGATTCAAAGCCCTAACAGCTAGAGAGTAGAAACTGCTATCTAGTCTATTAGTCTTTGTTCTGATGCTCTTGTATCTTTTGCCTGATGGCAGCAGTTCAAAAAAGATTATGAGTGGGGTTTGAGGAGTCTTTTATATTTCCTCCTTTCCTGAGACAGCAGAAGCGGTTGAGTATATCCAATGATCCCCTGGGCAATATTTACAATCCCCTGAACTTTTTTTTTCCTGCGCTGTCGTGTAGCTGGAAAACCACAGAGGGAGTAGCACAGGATGCTCTCAATAGAAGAACGATAGGACCATAATGGAAGGCCTTAGTCATCACATGCTTAAACTCATCATATATTTTTGCATATGCTGAACAGGCAGTCAGACATGCTGTAACTGTGGGGTAGAAAATAGCATGAACACCATACAGCAGGGGTCTCAAACTCCAGTCCTCGAGGGCATGGAAAAGTTGCATGACACTGGCCCTTGAGGACTGGAGTTTGAGGCCCCTGTCATATGGAATATGACAGGTGTGGTTGAACTGCATGAAGACTCTGAAGTTTCTCTTCTCTTCTGGCAGGACAGGAATGTGGCCTTGTCCTGTGAGCCACTGTAAGGATGTACTTAGAGTAGAACTGGACTGTCACCGGCCTCAGGCTCTTCACCCATTTCAAAAACAAAGCAGTCATTTAGATAAAATATTAGATATTGTTTACCTGTAAATGCACAAAGTAAATTTAGAAATGTAATTATTTTCAAGAATGAACAAGCACTGATAGTGTAATCTACAGCTGTGGCCAAACGTTTAGAGAATGAGAAGTGTTGTTTGCTTATTTACAAAGTTTGCTGTTTCAGTGATAGTTGTATACAGTGTTGGGACTAACGCGTTATTAAGTAACGCGTTACAGTAACTACGTTATTATTGCGGTAACGAGCACAGTAACTAGTTATTATGCCAAAATCAGGAACGCGTTACTCGTTACTGGGATTTAGATAGGGTCGTTACTCGTTACTTCGTGTGGTGGCTATCGC